GAAATTGTGATTTTTACTAATTAAGAGTCAACCACTCATTACTAACAATTTAGAGATTAACCTTTTGAAGTTTATTGAAAATTTGACCCAAAGAATTATTACGTCAATGCAATTGGAGATAAACCCTTAAAACAATATCAATAGATTTATTCATTGATTTGCTGCATTTAAAATTATTGTAAATTATTGTGATAGTTGTGATTTTTTAAATATTTTATTATTATAAAAAAATTTATTATTCAATAATTATTTTAAAAATAATGTTTGATATTAATATATTTATTAAATTATATAAAATATTAATTAAAATTAATTAATTTATAATAAATTTTAATACTTTCAATAAAATACGGTAGAAAAAAAAAAACTGCTGTGATACCTCGACTCCAAAGGTTTGTGATACGCTGGAGATCGGATGATTTTAGCCATTCTAGCAGTTGACATTTTTATCGACATTGGGCCGACTTCATGAATTGGACTGAAATGGCTTGGGCCTCAGATCCAGTAAATGTAAAGGCTTTTTTTTTTTTAAGCAGGAATTTTAAAGAAAAGAAAAGAGTAGAAATATACGCCCACTTGCTAAGAGTCAGTAAGACTAAGAAGTCTACATACAAAAGGCCCACAATTGGAGCAGAGAGCCAGAGAGAATCATATCAAAAGCCTGTACATAGCAAAAGAACATGTAAAAGTTCAAAGGCGAAACTCTCAATTTGCACTGTAGATATTATTGTTTTTTTATGATTAAGACTCTTTCGAATTTTTACTCTGAATCAAGGCATTCTATAATTTAAAATCTATAAAAAAATCTAAAATTAAGAATCAAGTTTTGTGCAAGTTATGGTGCAAATAAGGGATTTGGTCATTAATTTTTAAAATTTTTTTATAGATTTTAAATTTTAAAACATGTTAACTAAGAATAAAAATTCTAGAAAATGTTGACGGTACAAAATAATAACATACAAGGTACGAATAAGAGGTTTGAGCAAGTTGAAATGCCTTTTTATGCTATTAAATGGACAAATGCAGCTTTGTAAACATTAGGACAACAAAAGTAGAATGACAAATTTTCTTTTAGTATAGGATTCTTTGGACCTCAATATTGCCCCCAACTTGGAAGCCCAAAAAGAAAACCCAGCATCATTTTGTTTGTTGATAAATTGCTTCCAAACAACCCAAACTCCCTCAAAATGGTGTGGACACTAACTCAATCCTATGTTAAATGCAAATTCTAATTCCAAAAGCAAAAGGGCCTTGTTTTGATCAGAACCAAAAAGACCCGACAATTACTTTTTACACAAAAATTTTCATTATGAAAGGTGAAAAAAATACTACAACTAAAACACTCTTAAGCAAATCTTTCACTAAATTTGGCATCAAAAGAACATTTTGTGGGGAGTTTTCAAACAAGATGGAGACACATTGTCTCAATTGGTCTTCACATCATTGAGAGTAGATGTGGAACATAATATTATGATCGTTGAGTGCGGTACAAAAACCAAATTTAAATTTGATTTCGATCCACAATTATTTGATCAGGGAATTATTGTTCATCATAGTTTGACTTAGAATGATCCATTGTAGCTGCACCCCATCCTCACTTTGGTAAGGGGAAACCTAGCGTGCTAATACTCATTTTCATGTTGGATATTATTGGTAGGCTTTGTCTTTGTGTTCATTATAAAGAAGAGACTTTGTATCTAAAAAGGGATGATACATGATTGAACATTTTTGAAAGATCTACTTTAGAAATCTCACAAAAGAATTCCAATGAGTCCACCTTTTGTACAAGGTCCCAAACCTTAATCACTGAAATATAATCCAAAAAGGACACAATATTTAACGCAATTGGCATGTAATGATCAGCTTTACCAACTTACATTACCATACTAATACTGGGATTTCACTTAATGACTAAAGGTTTTAGATGAATCAGTGTTTGAATCTTGATAGCTCCCATCTTAACCAAAACAATCCAACAACAATTAACTTTACGAATGTTTCTAAGCATAGCTTAAATGGGATAGGATTTATTATTAAGTATTGAAGAAGGGGCAAAGATTATGTTATGTGAAGAAAGCAGAGGCAGCAATGTGGAGCTAAAGAGTTGAGCGCCAAGTGGTCAAGGAGACAGAGGTTACAGGGAATGTTTCTGGTCCCCAATGACTAGAAGCTAGAAAGGCAGCACGATCCAACAAGGAACGGCGGTGTGTGCTGCCCAACAAAGCCCCATTAGTGTGTTGCCCTGCGCCAAAACAAAAAGACTCATGCTTTTTCTTAATCATACCTCCACCATATGCATTGATGGTTTTTTCTTCTTCCCTGATTTATAACAAGACAAACTCATTATGGTTTATCATCATCAGCTTAAAGGTAATCAATGATCCATCCGGCTTTCAAACTCAAATGAACACAATGTCAATTTTCTAACCATGGTGGGAAGGACAAAGTGTTTTACTGCCATAGTTAATTAGTTTACAAAAATAGTAAATTCAAACAACCATAGTATTCAAATATAATTTGATTTTTTTTTAACAATTTATAATTGTTATTATTTGAATGGGCATTTTTTTTGTCAATTTTGATTGAAAAATTTTAGTCTCATGGTGGAATTTACTCGCAATATACAAGGGGATGGTGTTTCCAAGGGCATGTGAAATTGTGAATAATGATCCAACGAGACTCTCCAATGTGAATAATACCAAAATAGAAGAATATAAAATTTGAGGGTAAAAGTATCCATATAATGCAAGTGAGTCCATGTGAGGAAGGTAATTTGGGGTTTGAGGATTCTCGAGTTCCCAAAGCCATTGCCCATGTGAGAAAAGCAGTTTTGCCCTTTCTTCATCTTGTAAAGCGACCACGCCCGTCGGGCTGCTATCATGCGGTCTACTTTGTTATAATAATTTCCCTTCACTCCTTCCATTCCTTACTCCTTTTTAATTTTTTTTTGTCCCCCTCTAATCACCTTGTTCTTCTACAAATAATTTCATAATTGGGGTGAAATAATTTTTAATTTAGGATAAAAAAGTTCAAATCTTTTTTTTATACTAACTTTTAGTATTCAAAAGTCATATTAAATTTTAATTAATTTAAAATTAAATTACATTAAATCCTATAAGAAAAAAATTCTTTCAATGCTTATTTTCTCATTCATAAAACTTAAATTTAATATTTTATTTAAAAACAATTAAATTCACTATATTTAGACTAATAGATAGTAGTTTAAACCTATATACTTTCAAATAATTAATCCTCCAATATGCCAAAAAAAAAAAATTCATAATTAGAAAATTTTCTTTTATTTTTTCAACCAAACAAAGCCTTTGCAAAATTAGAAGCTCGTCTAGATTTTTGAAAATTTTTATACGCGACAGATTCAAAAAATATTCTCATTCAGATCCTTATCATTTTTTTACAAATTTTTTAGGACTCAACCTGTAAGGGTAGCCACGAGACAAGACAAGGTGCAGAGCTCTGAGCTCGCCACACCTCAGCTGCAGAGCTCAGAGCTAACCGCACCTCGGCACTTCGTCGTGGGTGCATGACAACCACAATAGGCACGCCCTTATCTGATCGTTTGCCTGTACCAGAATACCCTTCCTCAAGGAACCTGCTCCGCCAGAGCGCACCACGCGCATTTAATGCGGTTGCTCCGTTAAGGCACGTTACACTCACCTAAAACGTCTACTCCGTCAGGCGCACCATGTCACCATTATTGGATTGACTAGGCCACGTGGGTATGGGCGAGCCACGTGGGTGTCTTGCCAAGCGGAACAAGGCCTACAAGGTAAGACCCGATAAATAGGCGGGAAAAAGAAAAAGGAAGGTTAATCGGAAAAATACTGACTTAAGCATCGGAGTTTCTCCCCGAGGACCAACCTCGGGATTTTGCAGGACCATTTGGAGCAAGACCGACTTGAAGTAGGACCTCAAGGATATTCAGCAATTACACAACCCACCCCCCTCCCAAAAAAATTGAAATCCACAATAGAAAATCCACCTTTTGTGATTGTGATTTGACAAAAATTAACAAAACTTTCATTCCTTGCCAGTTGAATTAAGGAAACAAAAAAAGCACCAACGAACATCGAAGCTTCAAATTTGTAAAGGGAATTAGCTCATCAGCAAAGGAAATTGGGACCAACAAATTCAGTGGTTTTACTAGAGTAGAATTGTTTCTCTCTTTCTCCGGTGTAACTTAACAATTTCTATCAAAGTTTAACATAAACTACTTAAACTTTGATTAATATAGTTGTGATTTTGAATTTTTTATTTTGTTTTTTTTTTAA